AACATGACTTCACAAATTCATAACTTGAAATCCAAACATTTCTAGGAAAAGTTCTGACCTACAATATTTTAGATCTCATTGAGATCTACAATTTTCATGTTGGAAGTTTCCCTTGAATCATCTTGCATCATGGTGGAAATTTGGCATAAAGTTGTGAAAAAATGTGAACTTTCCAACACTTAGAAAAAATTCTAAGTCTTAGAATTTTGACTTTTCAAAGATGAATTTTGACTTTTTGATTTCTTGATGAACAAGTTTCATATTTTTAAATATCTTGATAAATTGTAATCTTTGGAACTTGATTTTGATCAAAAAGTCAAAGTTTGACTTTTTAGTGTACAGTTGACTTTTCATCAGTTGACTAAAATTCAATTATCAATCAATTGATCCTGAGAAATGTTTTGAGCCATTCCATTAGGTCAAAATGGTGTATTTGAATCCTTTAGATCATGTCTTAAACCAATAAGTCAATTGTTAGATCAAAAGTCAAAAATTAAACTTCCTCAGTCAAAACCTTAATTTTGACCATTTTACCCTTTTGATTATCTGATCAAATTTATTGAGGAATTTTTATCCAAACTTGATCAAATGACATATATGAGTTCATGATGTTGACATGGATAAAAAATTATGAAGTTTGACGGTCAATTGACCACAGTTGACTTTTTCCCAATACAGTTGATTTTAGGTCAACTGATCAATTGACTGACCAAAAATGTGATCCAATACTTGAAACTTAACATGAGAAATCTTAAGGGTCCAAAATGGTCTATGAAATTCATATGGAGTATTGAAAGTCCAACTGTCCTTGTGCAAACTCAAACCCTAATTTTCAATTGTCAGTGCTTGAGGAGGTGTCTTGAGCTTGAGCTGATCAAACCTTGTGTAGTCTTGAATCAATGGAGATCTTATGAGAGATTTCTTGAGAAATGAGAGGGAAAATTTTGGGGTACAACAACAGAAAACTTAATCTTTTGGCGTGTCTTGAGCTTGAGCTGATCAAACCTTGTGTAGTCTTGAATCAATGGAGATCTTATGAGAGATTTCTTGAGAAATGAGAGGGAAAATTTTGGGGTACAACAACAGAAAACTTAATCTTTTGGCAGTATTACAGTACAGAGAAAAAAGAAGAAGGAGAAGAGTTGTGAATATCATGTCGCATCATCCTTACCGATCGACTATGCACTTTTGCTACCGCCGCTCTCATCTCAACAACACCACTGCGATCGTCAACCTCTGGCACACAAGCATCTTCGAGGAACTCTTCCATCAACCGCATTCTGCAACACCGCTCATCCGCCACTCATCAACACACAACATCTTAGACCATCGCCCAGCTCTGTATGCGAAATCAACGATCGAAGCCATAAATAACCCGTCAACCTGCACTACCCTCAATCATCCCTGATCCATGCCACCGTCGTGTGCAACCCGCCGCAACTAACTCCTCCCTCAATCGCAGTCATCACTTCCGTCGTAAGATCTAAGATGCAAATTGTTGTTTTCCTTTTATGCTTTTAGTATAACTGTTATCATAATGAGTGCTTGGTTGGAGAAATTGACATGAAGCTCAAGGGATTAAAGTGGAGAAAGTGTGGATATTAAAAGAAAAATTGTTTTGATTAATGGAGAAAAGGGGAAATTTTCTCTAACTTCCAGTTATAACGTGAAGTGGAGAGAATATATGTCTTTTGGTTTTATGGCTACATGGTGTGAAGCGGCACCCTTTGTTGTGCATATATCTTCTTCTTTTTATTGTTTTTAATTTAAAAAACTCATAATAGAATTAGGTTTTAATGTGCAAATAGGCCTTGGGCCCTGAATTAGATTCTCCTACTAATTTATATCCTCCAACTTTCTACTACACCCTTAATGCAATCATTTAGATTAGTCTTTATACTTAGTTACATTAATTTATTTATTTAGCTTTAATATTAGGCCATGATATTTTATTAAGTTTAATTTATTAATTTAACTTTGTAATTAATTTAATTGTATTAGTTAATCACATAAAAAATAAGTCATACATAAAATCATATTTTTTATAATTTAATTAATTTCAACATCCTATAAATAATAGGATATTTATCTCCGAATAACTAAATCGGTCGACACATCGTCTACTGATTTATTATTCAAAATCAAACAATTAAAACTCGCGCAATTCATCAAATTACTACGTCCGCGAGTGACATGTGGCCAATATCTGATCACGTGGCAAGGAGACTATATCAGACTCCCTTGCTCTATGTATAAAAAAATATTCAACCAAACACCAAATCCTTTTTCGTAAATTAAATTAATTCGAATAATTAATTTTCGAAAAGGAATACGAATATATTTAAATTAACTGGGTACTTGGTCTAACAAACTCCACTATTCACACTCTTAGACTACGTATGCTGGAAATTCAAGATATATTTCGCAATCCATAAAAAATACAAATCAACGGCATACTACAAAATTGGACTCAGATTCCTCCTAAGAGGATACATAGGCATACGATCAAAAACCGTGGCGAGTCCCCCTAACTAAAATTCAAACCCTTTTCCCCCTAACTAAAATTCAAACCCTTTTTCCGCTAACTAAAATTCAAACCCTTTTCCCCCAATAATAATTAAAAACCCTATTTCCTAAAAATGCATTTCTAAACCTAGTATCCTTGTGAACAAGATAGATAAGGGGTGTCTAACATCTTCCCCTTGTCTAGAACCGAGTCCAAATCTAGAATATTTGAACTTTAGGATTATTTCTTTATACTCTCTTCCTTTAAGATAAAAATTAAAGCTGGCGACTCTGATTTAAAAACCAGTTGCAACAATCACACTATATAGAAAAGATCTTAATGAAATATACTTACTTTGATTGTAAACTTGTGAACACACCATACAATCCAAGCATGAAACTTTTTAAGAACACTGATGAAAATGTTAGACAAACAGAATATGCGAGTATCATTGACAGTCTTAGGTATTCCATTTATTGTACTAAACATGACATTTCATATGTCGTAGGATTGTTGTGCAGGTTTACTAGTAGACCGAGTAATGAGCATTGACAAGCTATTAAGCGAGCCATGTGGTACCTTAAAAAGACTGAATCTTGGTTTGTGTTATCATAGATTCTTATTGTACTTGAAGGATATAGTGATGCATATTGGAATACCTTATCAGATGATTCCAAAGCAACTAGTGGCTATGTATTCAACATAGCTAGAGGAGTTGTATCTTAGAAATCAAAGAAACATATTATCTTGGCTTTTTCCACGATGGAGTCTGAGATGATAGCATTAGAGGTTGCTAGTGAAGAAATAAATTTGTTAATATGTTTGCTACTTGAGATCCCTTTGTGGGAAAAACCTATGCTAGTTGTGTTGATCCACTGTGATAGTACCACAACTATTGCAAAAATTGAGAACCATTAATATAATTGTAAACGGCGTCAAGTTAGAAGAAAGCACAACATTGTTAGAGACTGTATACCTAAAGGAGATGTAAGAGTGGATCATGTACACACTGATGAAAATTTCACAGATTTTTTGACGAAAAGATTAACTAGAGAAAAAGTCTATAATACATCATATAATATGAGACTAATACCTATAGAAAAATGAGTTGCCTATGATGGTAACCCGACCTAAATGACTAGAGATCTCAAGAAATACGTTTAATGGGTAATAACAAGTTGTAAGTAATATGAGGTGAGGTGATCATGCTAGAGTAAATGAGAGAAGCATCAATCCTGAAGCGATAAAAGGATGAGATTACAGAAACTCTTAGTGAGATATATACTTTGTATGAGGGAGTACATATGCTACAAGAGTACTCTTGATAGACTCAACTATGTGATTATGGAACTTATGTCGGTTCCTATGAAATTTTGGGGCAGAATTCCTAGAGCCTTCGCTAAACCGAGATACGCGTGCATAGAATTTAAAGCATGTGCTATTAGAATACATCTTAAGAAAAGGTTGTGTGTGAGTTTGATATCCGAGATAGAGTTCAATATATTTGAGTCACTCTTGTTGAATCAGAATCCTACTTGCTACGCAAAAGTTCAAGTCATAGACACTTTTTTTATGCACAATCTTATAAACGTTTGAATTTACTTCTGAAACACTTTTTTAAATTCAAGTGGGGAGTTGTTGAAGCATGTTCCTGTTCTACTATGATTAATTTAAAAAATTCCTTAAGTTCGACATTCTTAAAAAAAAAAGTGTGATTGTGTGTTAATTGAAAAAAAACTCTAAGTCTCACATTGTTTAAAATACATTATTTGGCTAGCTTACTTCATTATACAAGGAGTGCACATGTTTCATTCAAAAACACAACAAAAACTTGTTGAGTTTTATCTTTCTCACTCTCATAACTCCGCATCTTTCGAATTGTCGAAGCGCTAACTTCTCTCATTTCTTTCTACTCGTTGAATTTTCTCGAGTATTTTCTTGAACTCTCTTTAGAGAATTATGTTAATTTCTCCTCGTTTGAGTTGAGAAATTATCATGTATAATTTTTTAGATTTTCTTTAAAGAATTATTCAAATTTCTCTTTGTTTGAGAAATCATCTTGAATGGTCAAATAACTATTATTAGATTTTCTTTAGAGAATTATTGAAATTTCTCTTTATTTGAGAAGTTATTATGACTAACCGTTATATCAAATACTGCGAGTGATATTTATATTATATTTAAATGGTCTTTGTATTATCAAAAGGCGTATATTAAACAACTGAATTATTTTATCTTAGAGACCGCGTGATTGAGTAATTGTTTTGCATGATTTTAAAGTGTGCCATAAACATCTTAAAAAACGAATTGTTAGGCGGACTCATCCAAATAATTTCTTTCTATGACAAATTTTTGAAAATCGTAAAAGAACACTATCCAGTTTCCTTGTTGTTATGCTTCTTACACCCCTCTTTCAACGGCAAGCAGCAGCGGCTTATATCATCATTCCCACTCCAAAAGGTCAGACCAAACTGCATCTTCCACTTCCTCTGCAATGGCAACAATTACAAATGTTGTTCTCAACCCTCCCAATTTGGGGTTCCTCACTCCTAAGCCCCTCCATCTGACATTACTTCACCCCAATTTGAAAACCAGAGTAAAGTTGCAATCTTTATCAATATCTAGAGCAACCCATTTGAAGGTTTCACAAAATTCACTCACACCCACTGAAGAATCACGTTCTTCCTCACCACAACACGACTTGCTCATTGTGGGTCCTGGTGTTCTTGGTCGCTTAGTGGCTCACAAATGGCAACAGGTACTCTCTCATTTTCTTATAATTACCTCAATTATATATGTGGAATGTTGTGGTTGTCAGTTTTGTTTTTCTTTTTGTAATTTGTTTATGATTTATTGGCAATGACATAATTATAAGTGGTTGGTTATTCTACCTGTGTGCATTGTTGCGTGTAGGAAATTCCGGGTTGTCAAGTTTATGGACAGACAATGACTGTTGATCATCACAATGAGTTGATTCAAATGGGTATTAATCCATCTTTGAAATGGACTGAAGATACTCACAAGTTTCCAAATGTCTTATATTGTGCTCCTCCATCCCGGACCGCAGACTATGCTGATAATGTTAGGTGACAAACCCTGGTATTCATTCCATTATTTTGTACTATTTAGTAATTAAAAGCATTGTCCGCAAATCCTAATTCAACTGGCACAAATCGATATTGTTAGGTTGAACGACATCACCAAGATTTCAACCCTAACACATGGTTGTGTATGTGAGTTTCTAGTGGTTATTACTACTTTGTCCACCGATGTTTATATGTAGAGCACGAGGAACAGAATGAGTTACCACAAAACTTGTTTTGCTTTTGATTTGTTGACACCAATTTTCTTTTGGTACAATATTGACACCAATTTTTAGTAATTTTGAAGTGGTTGATTGATCAGATCAACTTGGATGGTCCAATGCTATTTCATGAGTATGAGTAGTAGTTACTAGTTGCCTTCTTATAAGTTAATGTAAATTTTCAACTAATTAGGCTAGCTGCATTAAGCTGGAATGGTGAAGGTTCTTTCGTATTTACGTCAAGCAGTGCTCCATATGACTGCAATGATAACGGACCGTGTGATGAGGTAGGTCATACATCCAGATTGTTATATCATTGTTTTGCTTGTGTTTTAAGATATGATGATGATATACACACTTCTTTTCCAAAGATTAGCAAAATTGCAGATTGTTTTAATTGCTTAACTTGTGCAATTGCATACTTCTATTCCTACGGAACTTGTTTAGGATACTCCAGCTGTGCCGATTGGGAGAAGCCCCAGGGTCGACATCCTTCTAAAAGCTGAAAACGTGGTACTGGAGTTTGGCGGTTGTGTTCTAAGATTGGCAGGGCTTTATATATCCTTTATAAGATTCAAATTATTAGAATTGCAAATAAAAATCTTAATCTGAGTGATTATTGCTTTTATGTCTTGAATTCCTTGACCAATTCCACAAAGCAGAAAGAGGTGCACACAACTATTACCTAGAAAAGGGCATTGTTGATAGTCGTCCTGATCACATCCTGAATCTTATACATTATGAGGATGCTGCCTCCCTCTTAGTTGAAATCTTGAAGAAAAAATTCCGCAAACAGATTTTCTTGGGTTGTGATAATCATCCTCTGTCTAGGTAAGGCGCTCTCTCTTTAAGTTGTCAGAAGAAGTGTTTCTTTCTGAACTGCTAATGTTAATATACGATATGAATCTTACATTTTCCATATTTTTGCAGGCAAGAAATGATGGATCTGGTTAATAGAAGTAGTAAATTCAGTAAAAAGTTTGATAAGTTTAGTGGTGAGTTCATGTTTGTTAGTAAAACCTACATCTCAAACTAATACTATCGTTACTCTATTGTATTTTGAGTTGATCTCTGTGGTTATCGTGGAGCACACAATAACCGCAGAAGTGTGTATGATTCTAAGAGCATTGTTACATTTTATGTTTGCTTTTGCAGTAACTGATGGCCCTCTAGGAAAGAAATTAAACAACACAAGAACTCGTCAGGAAGTTGGGTGGGAGCCTAAGTACCCTAGTTTTGCTGATTTTCTCTCGAGCATGTGACCGAGTCCTAGCTGCATCTTTGCTGTTGGCTCTAATAAATGTGGGAAAAAAAGAATAGAGGTATTAGAGGATGCTTGCTGCAGACGGAAAGCTTATATACACCTGCAATCTAAACTTTTTATATTTTCCTATTTCTTCATATTTAGCATTGTGTACAAGGATGATCAGTTGTTGAATTCTTCTTAAAATACATTGGTCTAAAGTAATAAATGGAGGCATTTTTTTTATGTTGACTCTACTACATATTTGTATTTAACCAAATAACCAATTCAAACCATGTTGTCGTGATAAAAATTTTAAATGTAACAATTGTTGTGTTTCATTACAAGAATTGATGGCAAGAAATATCATAGGGTTAAAGTTAAATGTTTACAGAATGTCTCTTTAGTGAGTGTAGCTACATAATGAGTAGATTAACGGGTTGAATGTTGTTGCTTTTATATTTTGATATATAATAATACGAAGTCAAAAACAAACATCAAGAAGCGTTTGTAGTCCAACGGTCAGGATAATTGCCTTCCAAGCAATAGACCCGGGTTCGACTCCCGGCAAACGCATTCATTATTTTGTCAAATTAATTTTTCATGATTTGCAACGTATCTTTTGGGATTCACTTTAAATGCACGGAAATAACACGTAATATGTTTCATGAAGTATATGCTACATTAAATGTTTCATAGTTCATACTATAAAAAAATTATATTTCATACATATGCTAATTGAATATTTGTAACATAGGAGGTACAACTCTAAGAACCAAATAAAAACTACCCTTATCTTTTTTGGACCCTTAAATAAAATGTATCCATGTGTAAGCAACTTTCTTCATCACAAATTCAAAACAGGACACAATTCTCTTCCCTCGCCCTGTGTGTAGACACTTGCAGTTGAAACATCTTCAGAAAAATATCAATCAAGCAGGTAAGGATGAACAACATTTTGGCAGAAGGCATGTTCTGAATCCAAATGCTTAGGGACCAAATTAGGCCGAAGATAAACTTGTGACAAGGTCACGTCATAATCCACCTAGAGGTGACTCTTGTTTATGGTCATCCACCAACCAGAAACCATAGTCACGAAATCGTTTTATCTTCTTCTCAAAACCAACTATATAATTGTTGTGAATTATAACATGTCTTCCTTTAGTTTCCTTAACCCATGTTTTGTTCTTGAAATATAAACCGCCTGTAGGGAATGCTTCTTGTGGAAGCAGGTACAAATCAGCCTGCAATGGGGAAACCATCATGTCTTTAGGACAATTGGAGCAAACATTTAGGAACCGAAGTGAACTAGAAGGAAGTGAGAAAACTGCAACATACCTCTTTAGCATTCTTCATTAAAGCCCAGTTAAAAGCAGGTTGATCATTAGATTTCTTGGTTCTAGACCATGGCTCCATCTGAAGTTCCTCTAACCACTTTTTCAAAATTAGCTTTGCTCCATCCGTAGGGCGAAGGAAAATCATGCAACTACATATATAAGGCCGCCCCTTTTTTCCCGGTGGTGGTAAATCGTGAGAATGGTTCAATGGTTTGATCTGCTCCCACAAAGAAATAGAAGGGGAAAAAGTCAACTATATATAAGAACAAAAATAGAATCACACTAGAACTGCAGTACATATTCAGACAAAAAATAAAAAGAATTGGAGCCCGATTTACTATAACTTGTGGATGCACCTTTGGGTACATTAGCATGTCCCCTAGTAGACTGCAATGTAATCCTCCTTGGTATCATGTTGTGAATACATTTATAATTATTTTTTTTATGATAGAAAGGAAAATCTAAAATGATCACTAGAACACTAAAATTGTTGAACTCTGATGATTCCTCTGCATAGTTTCACAGATTCACAAAATGGAGTTTAAGCAAAGGTACAAACTACTGATAGTATTGTTTTGGATTAAAACTATTGACCACAACAAACATCACCTATATGTCTATATGCTTAGTTATAAGCAACATAAATGACGGATAGGATAGGAGAATAAAGCAAGATCAATCTTCCTCCCAATTCTAATGTTCAATTTTTTCACCCAAAAAAATTGTAAGATGATAAAACACATATACTGCATCATATGTTATGAAATTACACTTGCTGAAACACAGAAGTCCCAGTATTAATATTTTGCCAAAGGTTTTTAACGGGGAGAAATGTAAGAATAGCATTCTATGACGGACAAATAGATCGAGTTTCTGGAAGGGCTTAGATTATTTAGTGAAACCTACATAAAACTTATCCAATAATTAACTGCGTGAAAATGTGTAGCTAGTATTTCACTCCCAACTGACAGAACCAATATGAATTCATTAGAAAATCGATACTTTATTAGAAGGAATGGGGAAAGTCTTCCCTGAATATATCTACAAAGTGAAAACTTACACAACTTTGAAACAATGTTGACAAATTTCCACCATGGTAGCACCATTTTGTAGCATGGTGGATTTTGTGCCAGCCGCAACACCATGTTGTATTGTGTATTTTTGGCTGGAAGCCATAATCTTCCATCTACCATTGATAACACTGATTTGAAGGGTTTCTCCTTCAATTATTTATATAGATTGTAATATCCTACCTTTTTTAACTACATCGACTACTAAGAAACTAACTGTGACTAACTAACCAACTACTAATATGGTTATCAAACAGAATTATATATATTACACACACAATAAAAGCATTGGTGTAGACAACAACTTTCTAGGATTGGTGTAGCTTGAAGTTATAACAAAACAATTGAATGGTGCATAAACGAAAAAGAAATTAAATGAGAGTACTTACCGCAGTCATATCATCTGTAAAGTACACATCATGGCTCCCTTGCAGATAAGGAAAAGGATCAGCTAACCAAACCATGTCGACATCATTGTACATTACGCTATATCCAAGCTCCAAAATCTTCAGCAGATGGCTTGGCCTCCTGGCTGTAAAGTTGAAGAAACCCTACGCAGCGAAATAAACAATCATGGATTCTAATCTTTAGCCACACACAAGAGAAAGAAATGGATCCAAAAACTGATAATACCACAGGAAAGATAAGCTCAAAAACAGAAGAAGAAAAAAAAACACCCACGATGTCAAGTCAGAGCATGTTACCTATCCACAAAGCATTCAAGACACACCCCAGATAGTTAAATCACATTATGTATTTACAAGCCTATAATGAAATCAAGAATCAAAAGAATTATTTGCAATGAGAGACAAACCATAGAACCAAACTTGTGAGAAGCTTCAACATCAAGCACAGGAGGAATAAGAACAGCATGACCAGGCCAAAGTTCATTAACCTTATAAAGCGAATGATAATCCTCAGCAATAACAAGAACCATATCATGCCGCTTCTGCATAGCAACACTTATCAACCAGTTATTGAGAAAAGGCAAATAAGGTTGGCTAACAATACAAACAATGACAGTCCCATTTTTAGCCACAAAGGTGAGTGCTTGATCCAATGTATAGTGACCCCATTTAGAAATTTCAGGGTTTGAAGTAAAGAAGAGATTTTGAGGCACTCCTAACCATGGAGAGAAAATACCCAGCACCACAATGAGAGTTAATAGGGGAAGGAGAACTGTGGGACTTAGAATTGAAAGGGGTTTCTTGGAATTCGCTGAAGATGAAGGTGAAGTGTAGAATTGAGTTGAGAAAGGGTTGTGGAGTGTTCTTTGGTGGAGAAACCCTGATGACATTTTTGAAGGTTGAGGAATGAGATCTAGTTAGGATGAAACGAAGCAAGATTTCAAGTTTGATGTTGTTGTTAGGGATTTGAAAATTGAGAATTCGGATCAGGGATGTCGGTGGTTTGATTTTCCGGGGGAAGCGTAATCGGAGTGATGCTCCGGTGCAATAGATATTCTTCCTCAGATTATTTTTATTTATTTTTTGATAAACAAATTACAAAGCTACTTAATTTATAATTTAAAAATTATTTAAATCCTCTAACACAACAACAATGAAATAATTATTAAATGCATTTTATCAATGCATCATTAACTCACATTGGATCTCCTTCATCATTTTTCGATTTTTTTTTAAATAAATTATTTTTTTTCAAATAAACATATTTTCAAAAAATTTACCAAAATAATCACTTTTCAAACAAAAAATATTCGCTATACAGAGGAGGCGCCATTCTGTGTGGCGCATGCATACAAATTAGAGAGGAAACGTCTATGGCTTGTCCTCCTCTGTAAAGTCATGCAGTGTGGCGCATGCATGCAATATTAGAGAGGATGTGCCCCACCTAGTGTGACTTGACAGTTGTATATGGTTTTCTATAAATGCAACCACCATCTTTTTCATTTTTTCACACAATTTCTCACATCACACTTAGAAAATGTCTTTCACTCCCTTGCCAAGGTTTTCACTGATCAAAAGAGATGCGCATGTTATTTTTTCGGCGATAAAGCCTCTGATGAAGATTAAACTCTGGAACACGTAGACGTTCGAACATTTTCAGAGGAACTTGATTCGCTGGTTGGAAGGAGACATTCTTGAAGGTGAACAGATCAGAAAAATAAAAATGCAAGTTACAGTGAGGAACGAAAATGGAGTAAGTCGGTCATGGAAAAAGGTGAGATGCGACGCTGATGTCATGATGATGATGCTTGGACCAGACGATATTGTGTTGATGGTTTTTATCTCTTAAATATTATGATGTGTTTAGTTGTTTTGTCTGTTTATCATGTTGTTGTGTTGTTGTCCTGAGTCTGTGGTGTTGTAATTTTTTGGGTCATTATGTGAAGGTTATTGTAATCGAATGATAAATTGAACACGAAATGAAAACCCGAATTTAAATTGAAATTTCTTGTGTACAACAAATTAATTACTCTGGAAAGTTTGCTATAAAAAAATTAGGTTGCAGAGCTAGACCCAATATTCAGACAATATTTTCGATTGTGTCCGGGAAGACGACATGTACTGCATAATCTTATCATTTTGTTGACCGTGTCCATTTCAGTTCTAATATGAGTGCTATTGGAGCGCCTCTTTTTCTTCTGTCACATTTGTTCATTGTGCCAAATAATGTTCCCTTGATAAGCAGGCCCATAATCCTCTTTTGCCAACACGGAGAAGGTATTGATGTACACACTTAAAACGCTCTTTATTGTGTAAATGGGGGATATATGTTGTATTGGGTCCAAGCAAACATGCGAACATGCCGCTATGACATGAGAGAAAGGCATGCGAAATGCTTGAAACTTTCCGCAATCACACCAACCTCTATCTAGTTCGACCCGATAATATCCCCTTAGCCTCCCCTTATTTTGATCCATTGTCTCTTGTACACTTAACCAACCTTTAATAGGGTCAAACACGGTGACACTATGGGTGTTTGCTTTGGCAGCCTCCTCGTTAATTTTTTTCATTATGCATTCATTGAACAACTGCCCTGATTGTAAGATTGCCCTCCATTTTGAACTTCTTGTGTCAAACAATGGCCCCGTCCTAAAATATGTTGCTTTAACCAAAGCAGTAATTGGTAGGTTTTGGATGCCTTTGAAGACATAGTTCAATGATTCTGCCAAATTTGTTGTCATGTGACCCCATCATTGATCATTGTCAAATGCCCGAGTTCACTTCTCTATTGGAATGTTATTGATCCACCTTAATGCTTCTGAGTTTGTCAACCGGATTTCTTCATAATAATGTCGGAATGATGGTTTTGTTAAGGCATACCCTGCATTAACATCTTTCTTTCGAAGTGTCTTGTCTTTGATATGGAGCATGATGTTTTTTGTGATATGTCTAATGCAATAGACATGTGTTGAAGGGGGATCCTGTCAACCGTTATCAGGATTATTGTATGCACTCACAATCGATAGATGTCTGTCTGAAATCAAACAAAGGTTGGGTTGAGAAGTAAAGTGTAATCGGAGATTCTTCAGAAAGAAATTACACGCACCACCTGTCTCACCTTCAACTAGAGTGAAGGCAATCGGAAAAACATTAATGTTGCCATCTTGTGCAACTTCCATGAGTAATGTTCCTTTATACTTTCCGTATAACCAAGTTCCATCAATCTGTATAATAGGTTTGCAAAATGCAAAACCCTTGATGCATGGTTCATACGCCCAGAACAACTGATGAAATATTCCATTTCCACTGACACGAGTTCTATCTGGGGTAAATGTCGGGAGTGTCTCCAAAATTATAACAGTTCCTGGAGCATAATATTTGAGTGCCACCAAAAATCTTGGAAGTTCTTTGTACAATTGTTCCCAATTACCGTACACAAGTTCAACTGTCTTAGTCCTCCCGATCCATGCCTTCCTGTAAGAGGGAGTATAATTGAATCTTGTAGTGATATGATAAATAATTATACTCACCTTTAGTGATGGATCCTTTCTAATAAGAGGCAAGATTTCTTTACATATTAATTGAGAAATAAGTTTCTGATGATCCTGCACCGGAATGGTGGTGATGCAAGTGTGGAATGGATCTATGGTCTTCTGGATAATCAATTGTTGAGATTAACCCGAGGAATCTACTGTCGAGATTCGTTTGTGAACTACCTTCTGCCGAGGTCTTCTGGAAAATCAATTATCGTAATCAACCAGGAGAATCTACTATCGAAATTCAATTGTGAACTACCCTCTGTCGAGGTCTTCTAGATAATCAACTACCAAGATTAATTAGGGGAATCTACTGCCGAGATTCAATTGTGAGTTATCTTCTGCCGAGGTCTTCTAGAAAATCATTTTCCAAGATTTACCAGGGGAATCTACTGGAGAGATTCAACATAGAATATATTACTTGATTGACAATGATGATTGTCTTCATATGAAACATGGTTTTATGCTATGCGTGTTGTAACACGGTGGGAGAACTGACTTGGGTGTTTTGTGTTTGTTCGCAATTGTTGTGGATAGCAAGAGTCGCCACCGACTTTTCTTTTATCCAATAAGGAAAGGCTGAAAAGGATAGGAAAGACCTTTAGAGATTATTTCTGAGTTCGGGGGGTAGATTATGAAAAGGGAAGGTATTAGCACCCTTTTCATCCGTAGTTATCTACGGGCTCTTAGTTTCTTGCTAGATCACTTGCTTTTGTTTGAATGTGCTTGTGGTGTTGGTTTTGAAAATATTTTTAAAATGTCTTTGTAATGGTTCTCGTTTTCTATAAGAACGCGTACAAAGTATTGTTTAGAAAATAGTTCAAAGATGTGTTTGTGGAATGTGTTTTTTTTAAAGTGTTCTTGGAAAGATGTTTTTGTAATGGTTCTCGTCTCTATAAGAACGTATACAAAAAGCTTTTGTCTTTTGAAAAGGTTTTAATATGAAAGTGTGTGTGTAAAATGTTTGGTTGTGAGCAAGTGAGCAACTAGGAGAGAATCTACCTACTCAAAGGGTCTTTAATGTTCTTTTTCTCATCCTTTAGATGTTGCCATTTTACCATTGATTTGGTAAGAAACCCCATCGTTGGATATGAGGAGACGGACGTGGGTCAATTGTACAGTCATAGAAGGCAACTTGTGAACCGCTTTAGCAATTTTCATAAAGGACTAGATCGTTTTATCGAAGGCAACATTGAGGGACCACGATCTTTTTTTATCAAAGGGTCTTTGCTAAAGCGTCCCATATTCGAGGGACATGATTGTGTTTCCGAGGCAATAATCGAGGTTATCCTAGAGGTGCGTGTGTGAAAAAGCGTGTTTGATTCAAGTTACTTTGTATTTGAAGTTTGATTCTCTAGCGATTGATTTTAAATCTTGTCATGCACGCCTAATTATTATACAGTATAAAGAAAACAGTAAATTGCGAAAATTAAAATTCTACGCTATTAAAGAGTTTTCGAGAATGGGGATACAAATTCACAAATGGGGATGGATCAATGTGATTAAAAGTTCAAATAGGAAATCAATACAATCAAATCGAATCGAGAAATTAATCGAAATTACAACAAATATATGAAGTAAAAATTAATTAACAAAGTAAAAATAAGGAAATAAAAAATTCTTGTTTTTTCTATTTGAAAAGTTTGAAAAGAAAAGTAGAAATACCTATTCTATTAATTAACTAAGGAAATTAAATCAAATGCATGTATTTTGTCTTTTAAGATTTTTTATTATTAAGAAATTAAATAAACAAATTCAGGACTAAATATAAAAATTAATTATTAAAATTATTTACTAAATTTTCCTAAATTAAATTTTAGAACTAAGCTAATTGAGAAAATTATCTAACAAAATTTCATGAGTTATTAAATTAGTAAAAACAAATAAAATCAAACTAAAAATTAAAACAAAATAAAATGGAAGGGTGGTGTTAAATCTGAAATGGGGTGATGCTTTTTTTTTTGGAGCATGGGCTTTAAAGGCTTAAGCCCAAGGGGTTTTGTTTTTAACAATAAATAGAAAAATAAAGTAAACAATCAGAAAAATGGAAAAAGTGTCCCAAGGGGTCTTGAACCCGGGACCTCCTCCTTAAAAACTAAGGCCTTAACCATCACACCAAATGTTCATTTGTTATACTAATTAACTTCACAAACATATAAAGTAAAATTAAAAAGATGGGTTGGGCCAAAATAAACCAGGCCTAAACCCGGTTCAGGAAAGGAAAGGGAGAGGATTATTGCAAACCCTATTAACAGGGCACCGCCGCTGCTGTATGGAAAAGGAAAAAAAACTAATTTGTTATTCCAATGAAGCAGACAAAATGTTACCATCATCTTCTCAAATCCCAACAGAAA